GCACATACACGCATGCACGCAATCACACGCACGCACGCACAAACACACACACGCGTGCACGCACACACACAGACACACACACACACGCACGCAATCACCCACGGGCACGCACACACAGACACACAAGCACGAACGCACACGCACAAACAAACGCATACACCCACAAACACGCACGCACGCATGCGCACACAAACACCCACGCACGCATGCGCACACAAACACCCACGCACGCATGCGCGCACACACACGCGCACACACACACGCGCGTGCAAACAGACACACACACGCGCATACAAACACGCACGCACGCATGCGCACACACACCCACGAACGCACGCACACACACTCACTCACGCGCACGCACACACTCACACACGCGCACACACATTTACACACACCAGGCACACACACACACGCACGAATGCGCGCACATGCACACACACACAGGCGCACAAACACACACACACATACACACCCACGCACACACGCACAAACACACACACACATGCACGCACACACGCGCGCACATACACACACGCATCCAAGCAAACACCCACAGGCACGCACACAGACACACAAGCACGAACGCACACACACAAACATTCACGCACGCAAACACACACACATGCACACACAGGCGCACAAACACACACAAACATACACACCCACATTCACACACACCCACGCACGCACGCGCGCACACACACACACACTCGCACACACACACGCACTAACTCACACGCACAAACACACACACACACGCATGCACGCACGCAAACACCCACAGGCACGCACACACAAGCACGAACGCACACAAACACGCATGCGCGCGCACACACCCACGCACACACACATGCAAACACACACACACACACGCGCGCAAACAGACACAAACACAATGATGAAATGGAATTCAAAATTGAAATGATGTCCTGGATTTTTTTTTGGAAAACAGACATTTGCTCCACTTTTGTTTCTTTCACTCACAAGTCTTTCTCGCGTTTTTCTTTTTTTAGGTCCTAGAAGGTTATTTGAACTGTATCGTAATCCGCCTTGTCCTGATTGAGGTATTTATCATCATCGAATCTGGGTTGCAACCATGTGGCTGGGGTTTATTTCGTATTCCTCCTGGCAATCATGAAATCAATGGAAACTTTCGTGTTATTTTTTTTGTACAGTTTTACTATGAGCTCCTAGACTTTTACCGATTTGCACTGCGTTGTTAAACAGTGATTTTATTTGTAATTTACAGCATCAGATAGAAGAGGAATTTTGTGTCGTACATAATTGAAGTATTGGTACCTGTGAGGTAAATACTTCCAAAAAAAACTAATTTTTCTGTCCTGTTTGTTATGTGTATTCCCGGTTGTGGGTGTTCTTGTGTCATGCACAAGCCCAAGACGGCGAAATTTTTTCTAAGCAAGTAAATTGCAGTTGATCAACCGTCGGTTACAGATATGTCTTCAAGACCTAAAGTGCAGTTTCTCGATACGATTAAATAATCATTTTTGAAAATGCAATATGAAAGTTTAAAAAGGAGAATAACGAAGCTATCGTAATGAAACTGTCACTTTTCAACAAATTTCATCTTTTTTTGGGAACACAAATTCAAATCTTTTGTGTTATGCTGATTCATCAAAGCTTTGATAACTTGAAAGTATTGAAAACTTTGAATCATGATGGCTCCTTCAGTGAAAGAGTTTTTATAATAAAGGATCAATTTTGATTGATCTGTGAAAATATAAATAATTTCACACTAGCAAGTACCTGATCGACCTCAATTAGGATGTCGTGATCAAGCACAATCATGATATCCATTGCTAGGCACAACAATGTTCTGAACAAAAGTTTTGTCAAGTACTTCTCGATATATGTCATATTCATGAGCTAATAAAATTGGCTTATGAATGGCAATCATTACGATGATACCCATCTTATAGTAATAAAATGAATTGTTGTACTGATGGCAACTGAGTTTTCCAAAGTCTCATGATATTTTGTCGGAGATAAAATTACGATTCTGTTAGATCTTTTTTTTTCAAAATTGTTCCACTAGGTCTCAGTGATCTCTGATTATATCAAAAGTTCCCAAATTAGTGTTTTAACAGATAGAAAATTGAAAAATGCTCTATGGACAATTATATTCTATAAGTTAATGCTAAATGATGACATGCATGCGTTTTTTGTTTTTTTTTGGCGGAAAAAATCGTGAAACTGGTCATATTGTTGAGATGCGAGTATCAATGGACTCTTGAAGGCTACTTTTAGCCTTCAATTTTATTTTTCGTAGGCATAAAATGAATGGTACCATTAATTAGAAGCTATAGATTTGCACCAATATAGAATCACCAACAATTTTGACAACAAATCTTCGGCAAATTGGGTCGAACTTTGTGTTCGCCCGCTTTCGTTATTAAATTAATGTTTGAATGAAGCAATTTTAAGAAATAAATTTGGCAGATGAGATTTCCTTTCAAATGTTATTCTGCTAGTTTTTTTTTTGTGATTTTGTGCTCAAGCGAACTTCAAAATCAACTTGTCAGTTCCTAAGATGTGCAAAAAAATGTGCACTAAGTAAGAGGGTTCTAAAGGAACAAAATCTGTTCACCTCAATTGGCTAACTAAAATTTTACAATGGCTAGTTAATGCATTAAAGGTTTCAAGACAAGTTTATTGTCCTCTTTTGAATGCAATCGGAGATTTATTCCATGATTTTTAGCTGATTTTTTCAATCATAAAGCCGCTTGAAAACGAAATAAATTGACTTAAAATTTATTTCAGTTTAAGCTCTCAAAAAACGCTCCAGGTTTTGTTGAAACAATTATGTTTTTTTCTAGTGTCAAAGGAAAAAACTTTTTATTTTGGTAATTTGCAGGTATGCTTCCTCAACAAATTGAACTGTTTGTAGTTTTAGAAAAATCACGAACAGAAATGCAAGGAACGAAAGGTTTAGATACTTTATGGAGAATGCAATCAATCGCATGTTCATATTAAAATATAATATATTTAAGATTAGAAAACTAATTGGGTGAATTACTCAGGCTTTGAAATAGTAGACATCAGATTTGAAAAACAATTAATATGTTTCCTGTTGCATCATAAATAAATTTTCGACCCTGTTTTTTTACTTTCAAAAATTTTGCCTATTGATCCTTTTGATATAGTTTTTTTTTACTCTGTGAGTTTTTAGGCATAAAATTTTTTTTTCTCAAAATTTCTGAGTCCGTGAAACTTATTACGAGCAGGTATGCCCTTTTCTCAAAAATATTCCATTCCTTGATTCATTTAGCGGCCGTACCTGTTAAAGTTGAACCGAATAACGCACTTTGTAGACAACCATACGCGTCCCGATCACTGCATGCACCTGGCCTAATGCCTACATTGAGGAAATCTCTAGCGTCCTCATTTAAATTTGATCCTGTGAACTTTCCTTAGCTTAATTTGGGTATGCTACCACAATTGGCATTTTGATTTTTGTTTAAAAAAATTGTGACGACTTATCTGTTTATTTGCCTATGTTTTTTTTGTAGAAGGCTTTAGAATGCTTTATTTATTTATTAATTTTTTCATTTTCTAGGTATATTCAAAATTTAAGCTTGTTTCAGATGTTTAATGGGGTTGATGAATATAGTTTTTCTCTAGATATTCGCATCAAGCTATGAGGGTTAGTTGTTTGTTGAAAAATTTAGTCTAACTCTGGCGTATGTCTGCGGAAAAGGGTATGGAATTCGTGTCTACTTTCGTTAAAGTGTTTTGATAAAATACTTTTATATTTTTCAGTGTTAGTAATGTACCATATACTGTTAAGGTCTTTACTTCCTTTTTTGAGTAGTATTTTTAGAGTGTAAACATCATTTTTATAATATGCTGACACTAATTTTTCTATCAAAACCAAGTTAATTTCAGTTTTAAATATCTTTTTGAGTTAGGACTTGGGTGTATAACTCATAGAGTAATTTCGGATAGGGTACACCGTCTGCTCGTCACGCTATCTTATTTTCGGCCGGATAGATTCGTGCAACTTCTTAGTCTAATACCGATCCTAATCTTACTCTTATACTATCTAGTCTCAGGTTGTTTAACTAGTCTCTGCTAGGCTCAATAGATCTAGGGTATACTGGTTTATTGCGGCTGCTGAAGTACTCGGGAGAGTCCAACTAATTTCTAAGTTAAATTCAAATCTCTCTGGTGCTGAAGTTACAAGTAACTTCAGCGCTTACAAATAAGTGGGTTGTTAGTTAGATGGATCATGATTGGTTAATATTAAATACTTTACATTGGTAAAACATTTAATTTATCCAATCATAAAATATAGTTTAGATCAGGTTCCACCCATCCGGGTTTTACAGAGTTTTTTTTTTTTAGAATAGTTCTTCTGCAATTCGAAGGATGGATGATGGACGTTGGTATTTGGCGAACATCATATTTCTTGTTTCCTTTTTGTTAAGGAAGTTCCAGGAAGCTGGAGTTAGAGACATAAGACGTTGTGTTCTTCTTGTGACAACGACTAAGTCTTTGCAACAAACTCAAATCTGATTTCAGAATGGTTTGCTATGTCAGGTTTTTCTGTTCCTCGTGGAGAACTTCTTTTGTGTCTGATCTAGTTTGGGAATGGCGTGGAGATTGTGCGTGGAGGGGATGCCTGGTTACTCGGATCTGTACGTATACTTGAGCATCGAGGTGGTCATTGGTCTAGTTCAATGAAGTCCTTTTCTGCGAAGTCAAGTCGTACTCTAAATCCTTTGAGTTGTGGTTGTGAGCGGCATATCGATTGTAGTTGGTCATTCTCTCT